GCTGAGCTCCAGTTTGCCGCCCCCCGCTCTTAGGCAATGATCATACTGAGTGTATGTACACTCATGGTAGTTGGAGGTGTGGGGACAGGGTAAGGAAGGACAAGAAAGTGATCAGTGGTAGCTGTAACTTTTACAATCTATAATAATAAAAGCGTAATATGCTAATTGACCGGACATCCTTCAAGCTGCAAGGGAAGCCCGGGTCCTGGGTGCCTGCCGGCGGCTGGAGGGAAGCCCAGGTCCAGGTGCCAGAGGGAAACCGGTGCCGGCAGCTGGGGGAAGGAAGGCCTACTCTTGCATGAATTTTGTGCATTGGGCCTCTAGTAATAAAATAATAGCCCGGCCAGCATGGCTCAGTGGTTGAGTGTTGACCTATGAACTTGGAGGTCACAGTTCGATTCCTGGTCAGGGCACATGGTAAAAACTAACAAAAGAAGTATGTAGGAAGAAAGTAAGTTTAATCATAAAAATAATAAAGACAAGTTTTAAAATTTAGCAGACACTAGTTACAGGTTTAAAGTAGTTAAGAATAGACTAATTTACTTAGAGAACATCAATTTCAAGAGCAGTACAACTCTCTTGCGGGCTCAATCCACAGTGTGGGGTGTGTAGGGGGCAGCCGATCAATGATTCTCTCTTATCGTTGATGTCTCTATCTCTCTCTCTCCCTCACCCTTCCTCTCTGAAATCAATACAAAAATATTTTTCAAAAAAGAGTAAAATAATGAGTAGCAGCTAATTCTCAAGGAGGGCTTATTACATGCAAAGCACCTTCTATCCATGTAATTTAATCCTCACAACAACCCTATAAACCAGGTCTACTTTTGTTATCCCTTTTTCTTTCACAGATGAGAAAAACGAGGCACAAAGAGATTAAGTAACCTGTCCAAGGTTACACAGAAAGTGCCGTTAACTATCTTTTATTCTACACCCACCACATGGGGGCCTAGTCCTGTGAGGTGCTTTAAATATATTTCCTTCAACGTTCACAAGAGCCTCGCAAGGTCTGATTATTCCCACTCTACAGAATGAAACAGGTCAAGAAGGGCTACACTGTTCCTTGGCCTGGCGGGAGTGGCAGGGCTGGTCTTCCATCTCAGTTCTGTCTGGTCCAAAGCCAGTGTTGCTCCTACTTCTCCAGCGGTGCCTGGACTTGGATCTCATGGAGCAGAAACACTTGCAGACAAAGGTGGGGAGGAGGGAGACTGACACGAAGTTACCAAACTATCTATTCTGCCGCATATGGACATTGAGAAAAACCAAAACAGACAAAACTGCTTTTCCTGTCATGATGAAAAGATTTTAACACCAAAAACTAGAAAGAACCGTGTAACAGACTGTACACGAAAAGGTTTCTGCTGACATAAACGCGATCTGGTCCTTATTTTTCTCACATCACTAGGCACAGTGAAAGCGGTCATGGGCAGGTGCAGGGTCTGAGAACCACTGCGCTTCCACTGGAGCCACACGGGCTGTCACTGAACTATCCAGTTGGTCTCTCTGCACGTACGTTATGGGGTGTGTTAGAAGGTGCTTGCTGCATCTATCCTTCCATCCACCTCTCCACCTACCCTTTTCCCAAAAAAATAGTACAAAGTGGAGAAAAGTCATTCATAGATTTGTAAAAATTATTCTACAAAACGTCTCCCAGGACACCAAAACATCTTTTGATACTGAATCCCTTTGTAAAGAGATTTTAAAATTCACTTTACATGCCGCCTTTGAAAACCCAAGCGCCACGAAAAGAAATTCGAGTGCCACCTGAAATTTCACATGCAGCTCCCGTAGCACACACCTCTCTCAACTGGTGAGGCCATTACAATTCCATCTCAAAGGAGCTCTGTGAATAGAAGCTAATGTCTTTCAGCAATTTAAACTCTCTGGCTGCAGGACTTTGGTTTATGAATTGCAAACTAACCGATTCAAAAGCACAGAACCTCCATTTTAATTTCACATTTATTCTTGCCAGAAGAAAAATACTTTTTCGGGAAAGAGCAATAACATCTTATGCCTGAACTCCATGAATTTAATTGTTTGGAAGGCATTTTCATAGGACTTACCTTTCTGGCAACTCCTAGTGTTCTTTGGAAAGAGTCACGAATGCAGAAGGGCATAAATTTACTCAGTAAAGTACCATAAACTCTCAACTACCCGACACAGTAAGGAAATGTGGCATTCAAATATGCACATTTAAACAGTCACCCATCATTAATTATGCCCTGAAAACAGGATTAAAAAGTCACTCTATTGGCGATTTATGGACAAAAATTTTTCTAAGAACTACAACATCATAAAGTGGACCTAATAAGCCACAGGGAACCCTGTTTAATCTCCGTGATGATGAAGAAGGGTCTGGAGCATCTGCACCATAAGGATTTGTCCTGGCACTGCAGCAGCGTGCCAGCGAACAGGGAATTCTAGTTGAAGATGTGCCAAGTGACGGTTGACTGTGTAATTTGTACTCAATTGGAATTCGGCTTTTAAACAACTGGCTTTGGGGCCAGACAGCCCCGCGTCTGCATCTTAGCTCTTCCATTTCGCAGCTGTGGGGTCCAGGGCACATTACTTAAGATTTCAAAGGTGCCTCTCGGCAGTGTGAAAACCTCTGCTAAAGGCTGGGTTCTCTCTTCAACTCCATCAGTGACTTAGGGTATCGCACAGTCAATACTCTTTTTGTAACGAAGGGAAGGAGCCACCCAAACAAACTAACAATATGAGCTTATTTAGACTAATAAGTTGCTATCTGATATACCTAAAATCTGGAGAATAACTGCCATAGAATTGCTTAAAATACCTGGGAAGAGGAAGATGGGGGTAGAGCTGTGGGGGGGGGAGAGAGAATTAAAAAGAGGCCTTCATAACAGAAACTGCCTCCTCCTTTCCTTTCTATCAAAAGTCCCTCAGAAAATACAGAGGTTTGCACTCTCGGTGGTTCAGCTCAGTGAATAGAGCATCGGCCTGCGGACTGAAGGGTCCCGGGTTCAATTCCAGTCAAGGGCACATGCCCGGGTTGGGGGCTCAATCCCCAGTAGGGGGCATGCAGGAGGCAGCCGATCAATGATTCTCTCTCATCATTGATGTTTCTCTCTCTCCCTCTCCCTCCCTCTCTGCAATCAATAAAAATATACTTTAAAAAAAAAAGACAGAGGTTTGGATGGTCCTCATGGGGTTGATTATATAAATTTCATCCTTAGTATTGGTTTTATTCCAGCAGATACAGACCCAATTGTTTGAAATATATATATAAGATTTAAAGAAAGCTGTTATATTCCAGTTGAGTTTTGTAGTTCTCCTAGGAAAGTCTAAATTATCCACATTAAGGTCTTTAAATATTTTCATAATGTTGTTTAATAATTCTGTTTGGTATTTTTAAATGCTTAGTGCTTAATTCAGCAATTCTGAGATCACCACAAAACCAAAGTCTAAGAGATTTCAACAGATGGTCAAACTGCAAGCATGTAGAAGAACAAAGTCAATTTTTAGTGTGGAATGCTTACTACTCTCTATAATTAACAACTACCAGAAATTATTATAACAGAGAAAAGTATGAGTTTTTAATTTGAATCTTTTGTGCCTTACATGCTTTGCACATAAATATTATTAGATGAATAATAATCAGTTACCTTAATGGAAGTTAGCAAATACATATTTGTTAATATTGCCTTGTGTGATAATATTTAATTACCTTTCAAATATATGTGCTTTAGGTAACAACAAAATGAAATTTCACACCTTGACCTCATGTGCAGACTTCCTAGTACATAGTACTAAAGTGGAGAAAACAGCCCTACCAATCTAAAACTACTTGAGCGCTATATATTAAGACTTGTTGATTTGGTAATAAAAACTCTGTATATAATAGATTAACTGTGCAGTAAGTAAAAAATGATACCAGATACTTTACCTAATGGAAGGTAAAGTTAAAAACTAAGTGTATCAGAATATTCCAATCTAGTTAAAAACAAGGTCCCGCTTACTTATTGAAATTAAACTTTTATTCTGAAACCTTAGTGGGTTAATAACTGAATATATGAAAAATCATGCAACTAATCTAAACGAACCTCCCTGGTAACATAAAGGGGGTTACACTTGGAGAAAAATATTTTTTAAAACATTTTCTATAGTTTTATCTAAAAAACTATATTCCTACATTTTCCCCCATTTAAAAGTGTGCAGTAACAACTATTTCCTGAGATACTACAATTTCAGTTTGGGGTGTGAACTACTGACAATTTAAAAAAATGAAGAGAGGACTAGTTTGAGGTCAATTTCCAAACCAATATAAACTCAGGTTTAAAGGATTCATTTAGTTAATAGGTCACATGTATTTTGCTAAATTGACCAGATTATGAATTTCTAAAAAAAATATTTTTAATACTTGACAGTGTTGGTGGAAGTTGAGATGATGACTCAACTTGCTTCAAGCAACTGCTCCCCCCTCAAAATTCCCAAACCAGAGGCAGTGTCCATACAGTATGAAAAATAATAAGGCAAACAAGTTACATCCCAATAATCTATATAAACAGGGGGGAAAAGTATGGTTCCTACTGGTATTGGCCTTCAAGGCAGTCTAGACAGGTAGTGAGTAGCACAAGGCTCTATGCAAACACCGCACAGACAGAAAGCATCAGCTTCCTGCGCTACAAGGACTACACCCAAATAAGTTAATTCCTCCAGTATGTCTTGCTTCGCTAGCATATTCACTGTAAAACATGTAACAGACACTTAAAATAGAAGTCAACATTTTGGAAACCAGGTCTTCCTTAAGCTGTGGAAAAATCTGGGTGGCCCAGATGCCTTCCTTTCTTAAAATAAGGCTGTTTGGCCTCCCACTCTAGAAGAGAGGTGGAGATGTTTACATGGATACATCTGATGTGTTGACACAGCTCTTAGCAATAAGTCCTTCAAAAGGGCGATCTTTTCCTTCAGATTCTGCAACAAAGCTCTGATTGTCACGGTAAGCTGCAAAGAAAAGAACACATCCTAAGTATGCCAGTCCAAACGGAGAGAATCCTCTAACAGTATCATGTAAACGCTGCTTCGTGTGCTATGATTCAATCAAGGGAGGGCTGGAAGAGACCCTTAGCATCCTCCCAATGCAACCTCAGGGTCGATGGAATCTCAATGGTCACTACAACCTGCCCAGGCGGTAAGCCAGTCATGGCTAACACTGGCATCGACTGGAAATGGTCACTTTCCCTCACGATCAACTGACTTCTGTCCCCTGAGAATCACCCTCTGATCCTGTCTGTCCCTGCTGGAGCCACGCAGGAGACGGTGTTCTCCAGGCTTCGTTCTCCCCAGTGAGAACTCCAGCATCCACTCAACCCGGCTTCAAACGACACGATGTCAAGTCCCGCTGCCACCCGGCCAGTCCTCTCTGAACGCACTGGCACACTTGCTAGGATAACTCATTTAAAAGTTCTGTAGCAGTGTGTTCTTTCTACACAAGAGGAATGTTAACCATGCACTGCTCTTTTTCCAGGATTGTGTGAATTTTTTCCAATCATTCTATAAACCCAGAGGAAATTTTTGTTTGTGACTAACAGTGCTACCTTAAAGGATGGAGGAGGGGGTGGAGAGAGCTTCTTAGGAGCTTAGAAATGTGAAAAATAAAGTCGCCCACGTAAATTAAACATAGTCAGCCATGGATGAAATCAGAGATGTTTAAAAAGGCAGACTGTCACAGGTTTCATTTGCTATCATGTTAAAAATGGCAATTATACAACTGCAGTGGAAGCAGGGCCTCCCTCCTCAGATTAACAGCAGAACACCAGAAACTGGCCAAAGGCTACCCACATGAAGCAACCCTCAAAAGAATCGACAGCCAAGAAAAGTCTAACCTTAACTATTCTCATACCTCTGGGAACCACAGGAAAACCACCCACAATGTTTATGGGGAAACTCCAAAGAGAAGAAATGTCTCCTCATTCAAGAAGAAAAGAGCTAAATAAACAAACAAAAAAGCAAAACACACAGACAGACACACACACACACACACACACACACCAGGCCTAAGAAGAGTCTACAAAGTTAGAGATCAAAAGTATTCAAGAGATAGTGCTCGCTTCGGCAGCACATATACTGAAATTGGAACGATACAGAGAAGATTAGCATGGCCCCTGCACAAGGATGACATGCAAATTCGTGAAGCGTTCCATATTAAAAAAGAAAAGTATTCAAGAGATGAAAGAGTATGTAGTCATTAAAAAGTATGACTGAAGTAAAAATTTGTTGACACAGAAAGCCATCCATCATAATTTATTAAAAGGAAAAAAAATCAAGTCATAAAACACAATGTCACCCACACATGGAAAAAACAATCCAGGAACTAAATACATCAAAATGACAAGGGTGGTTATGTAAGTAGTGGGGAAATGATTACTTTTATAATCAGGGGAAAAAACTTCTATTACCATAATTTAACAGAAACTTTACAAAGAAAAGAAAAAGAAGGAGTGGCTAATTCATAGTTTAAGCTTACACACTCTGGTAACAAGCACTAACAGAGATAATGGAAAAAGAAACCCACATGGTAATCTCCATTAAGGGTTATAAATGGAAAAGTCTTTTTAAAATATTAGCAAATTCAGAATTACATTAAAAATTACAATAGACCATCACCAAGTAAAATTTACACTAGTAATTTAAGAATAGTTTGTTATTAGAAAATCTAATAATAAAGCAAATAGTGTTAATGATTAAAAACAGGATAAATATATGGTTAATACAGTATGGAAGAAATTATTTAAAAACAAAGAAAGAAAACTATGAATGAAGCACTATTGCCTTAACTGCAATATTATTTAACTTTGGTCTAGAAGTTCTAACCAATACAATAAGACAAATTAAAGAAATACATTAGGGCTAGAAAGGAGATGAAATTATTATTATTCAGATGATTAATAGTCTATTTGGAAAAGTTAAGAGAATCAACTGAAAGATTACTAGAAACAGGAAAAAATTCACTATGCTGATAAAAAATAAAATAAAATAAATCAAGGACATTCCTAAATTCAGTAATAGCTAGGGACATTTTTTTAATTATTATTTTAAGACATTATTAACAATATCAACACAATCTAAAAATTATCTAGCACAGTACCTGGCCTATAGTAACTGCAGGAAATACTGCTGAAGGAATGAATAAAAGGAAAGACTCAATATTGTAAAAATGTGAATGCTCTCCAATTTAATCTATTCAAAATCCCATTTGGAGTTCTTTTATAGGACAGGAAGTGGTAATTATGGTAAAGGCACAGCACAAAATTCTTTTTCATGAAGCTGTGAAAGGTCACTCTAAAAAAAGGATAAATGAAGAAAAATATAGAAAATTCATGAATAGGTATAATAAAGGGGCATTAAACAATCAGATTGTAAATCTTTATTAAAAACTACAAGAGTATGATGTTGGCAGCTGCTAACAATTTCATTAGTGAAACAGATCAGAAGGTCCCTAAATAGTGCAGTTGTGTGAAAGTTCAGTAAATGAGATACAGAATATTTCATACTAGAGGCCCTGTGCACGAAATTCATGCACGGGGAGGTGGGGGTCCCTCAGCCCAGCCTGCACCCTCTCCAATCTGGGACCCCTTAGGGGATGTCCGACTGCTGGTTTAGGTAGGATCAGGCCTAAACCGGCAGTCGGACATCCCTCTCACAATCCGGGACTGCTAGCTCCTAACTCAGCCGTGGGCAAACTACGGCCCGCGGGCTGGATCCAGCCCGTTTGAAATGAATAAAACTAAAAAAAAAAAAAGACCATACCCTTTTATGTAATGATGTTTACTTTGAATTTATATTAGTTCACACAAACACTCCATCCATGCTTTTGTTCCGGCCCTCCGGTCCAGTTTAAGAACCCATTGTGGCCCTCGAGTCAAAAAGTTTGCCCACCCCTGTCCTAACTGCTCACCTGCCAGCCTGCCTGATTGCCCCTAACCACTCTGCCTGCCTGCCTGATCACCCCTAACTGCTCTCCCCTGCCAGCCTGATCGCCCCCAACTGCCTCTGCCTCAGCCCCCACCATGGTGGCTTTGTTCGGACTGATGTCCGGAAGGATGTCCGGAAGACTTCCGGTCTAATTAGCATATTACCCTTTTATTAGTATAGATGTTCGGGGGGAAGGTAATTAATAATTTATTAAATGGGGGAAAATCAGATCCCTACAACACACCAAAATAAAATGCAAATATTATAAAGATTTATGTTTAAAAAAATAAAAACAGAAGAAAAGCTTAATAGGTAGACAGAGGTAGATGGCTATCCAAACACATCAACAGGGCCTATATATTGACATCGAACTCAGAAACCAATTGTTTGTCTTCACCTGTCTGCTGATAATACTAGTCATAATAATAGTTATACTTGATCTTTTTTTCTATATAATTTGTTTATGATTATTGAACATGTATGAGATAACTGTTAATACTCTTTTATTGCTTATGTAAATGTTATACAAGATGCCAAATACAGAGAATGAGACAGACGGCAAAACTTGGATCATGATAATTCACAGGATAGAACTGATCCAGAGTGTTTTTCACAGAGAAGGCCATAAGACCTGACTGCCTTCCATTTACCTGCCCTTCCTTTTGGGGGAGAAATTAGGCCTCCACTCAGATCCCATGGTAACGGCACTGCCCCATCCCCAGTGGTCAACAAGATGATGTTGATATTGAAACTGCTAGGAATGAACCTTCCTAGATCTGTGCGACCACACTATTCTCGACCAAAAGGCTGATCACCAGCGAATCCTTGGGACTGATTTATGACCAAAAGGGGGAATTGTGGATGAAAAAAAGGGTGTTCTATGCAAAGTAACCTCACAGGGTGATCTGATCATAAATTCCTAACTGGGCAGGTCATGGTGGTAGTCACGCCTGAGACCTGTAATTTCTTTAGTAAAAGGTTTTAAGCCAGCTCTGCCCATTGTTCTTGTGCATCTAAATTAACACACCTTTAAAATACCATACGCAAGCCCGGCCTGTGTGGCTCAGTGGTTGAGCATCCACCTAGGAACCAAGAGGTCACCAGTTCAATTCCCGGTCAGGGCACATGCCCGGATTGTGGGCTCGAACCCTAGTAGGAGGCGTGCAAGAGGCAGCTGATCAACGTTTCTCTCTCATTGGTGTTTCTATCTCTCTATCCCTCTCTCTTCCTCTCTCTCTCTCTAAAAATCAATAAAAACATATTTTTTTAAAAAATACCAGAATACCCCTGGAAGTGGGTATTATCCTCAAGAGAGCAAATAATCTTGTTAACTATCCTATAATCCAATCCCCATCTTGATTCCTTTGATCTTCCTTACCCTCTCCTTAATTTCAAATGCATAAAAAAAAGCTGCAAACTGTTATTCTCTCTCTCTCCCCTTTCTTTCCACTCTCTCTGGGGGGGCAAAAAAAACAAAAAAAAACAAATGAAACAATATTTTTTTTAAAAAAAATCACATATACCTTGGTTCTAAGAATTCACCCTTAAAAGATACCTCTTAAAAATACAAAGAAAAAAAGCACAAAGCTATTTATTGCAGCATTATTCATAACAGCAACAGACTGGAAACAATCTAAAGCCCAATAGAATACACACTAGAATATTATACATCCCTAATCAATTAATAGAGAGATTTCTACAATATATTATTAAATAAAAAGAGCAAAATACAAAAGAACATTTTGTTTAAAAGGAAGAGAAAAATACACACAGAGAGAAATGCTTATTTCTGCAAAAAGTAATACAGGAAGAATAAATCAGAAATTAATGAAAATACTTATCTATAGGAAGTAGGTGAAGAAAAGGTGGAAGACTGAGATGGGAACAAAACTTTGAGTGTACTTTTGTGTACAATTTTGACTTTTTAACAATGTAAATGTTTTACATATTTAAAATTAAATCAACAAGGTGAGGGGGGAAAGTAAACCCTAAGAATGAATATAAACAGAAACAAAGGATAGCATAAGACAAAGAAAAAGAGAATCAATTTTTACATTTTTAAATGTAATGTGTAAAAAAAGACTATTATTCTTTTGGTAAGAATGAATACTCAAAGAAATGAGGACATTGCCTCTGGTCCTGCAAAACCTAAAGGAGTTACTATCTGCAGGGGAAAGTGTACCAACCCTAGAACTAGACTAAAATGGTTAGAAACTTTTAAGATAAAACAGGAGAAATTAAAGAGATGTCCTGCTTCATTTAGTGTCAGTGACTAAGTAACTATTAACTGGTTGGTTGTAATGTCAATGCAACAAACATGAAGGCTATTATGCATGCACACATACACACACACACCCTCAGGAATATGTGGGTTTTCAGACCTCAAAGCTCAAACAAATCATTTGCAGCACTACTAGTAATTCCCGCCTGGTCATACCTTGGTTGTACTTTCACCATTTCTTTCATACTGGTTTCTTTGTTGAATTTTTTCAGCAATCTCTTGTGCAATTTGACAAGTAGAATCATATGTGGAGAACCTGTACCAAAGTCATAAAAGGAGGAAAACATTTAAGTTACTTTAAAAGAAATTTATGCATTATATATTTATATACTATATAGATGAATTTTTTTTTCATGGATATCAAAAAAGAGCAGGTGATTCAAGACATCACATCAGAAAGAAAATAGGAGGGAGGCTCAAAAGGAAAATTGGGTCCTGGTCCCAGCTTTGCTACATTTCCTCTTTTTCTCCTTCACGCTATCTATAATAATAAAAGCGTAATATGCTCATTAGACCGGATGTCCTTCCGGATGACCTTCCGGACGAGGCCAGGACTGCGAGGGAAGCCCGGGTCCCGGGTGTCTGCAGCGGCTGGAGGGAAGCCCGGGTCCCAGGTGCCAGAGGGAAGCTGGTGCGGGCAGCCAGGGGAAAGAAGGCCTACTCTTGCACAAATTTCGTGCATCGGGTCTCTAGTCATCTATAAAAAGAACAGCTTAGTGGAGGTATCACATTCCCTGACTTCAAATTATTCTACAATAATCAAAAAAACAGACACAGAAAAATGGAACAGAATTGAGAGCCCCAAAATGAACCCATATGTATGTGGGCAGCTAATTTTCGACAAGGGAGTCAAAACCATACAATGGAGAAAAGAGCCTCTTCAATAACTGGTGCTGAGAAAACTGGAAAGCCACATGCAAAAGACTAGAACTACACTGCTAGTTGACACCATGCACAAAAATTAACTCAAAATGGATCAAAGACCTAAATATAAGACCTGGGACAATAAAATACATGGAAGAAAACATCGGCACTAAACTTATGAACCTTAGTCTCAGAGAGGATTTTGTGAATTTGACCCCAAAGGCAAGGAAATCAAAAGCAAAAATAAATGCATGGACTGTATCAAACTAAAAAGTTTCTGCATAGCTAAAGAAACCAACAAAACAAAAAGACAACCAACTGAATGGGAGAAGATATTTGCAAACAATACTCCAACAAGGGGCTAGATGGACCAGGAGAACATTATGCTAAATGAAATAAGCCATTCAGAGACAGACAAGTACTGTATGATTTCACTTAAATGTGGAATCTAATGAGCAAAATAAACTGGCAAACAAAACAGAAACAGACTCATAGATACAGATAACAGACTAACAGCTGTCAGAGGGGAGAGAGGGGTTTCAGATTGGGGTGACAAAGGTGACAGGATGAAGGGGGGGGGACACTCACAGACACAGGCCACATGGGATTACCAGAGGGAGGGGGTGTGAGAGAAAGCAAAAGAGTGGTAGACAGGGAATCAATGGTGATGGAAGGAGACTCCACTTTGTGTAGTGAACACTGAATAAATACCCTATACCAGTGGTTCTCAACCTTCTGGCCCTTTAAATACAGTTCCTCATGTTGTGACCCAACCATACAATTATTTTCATTGCTACTTCATAACTGTAATGTTGCTACTGTAAATATCTGATATGCAGGATGGTCTTAGGCGACCCCTGTGAAAGGGTCTTTCGACCGCCAAAGGGGTTGCAACCCCACAGGTTGAGAACCACTGCCCTATACCGATGATGTATTATAGAACTGTACACCTGAAACCTATATAATTTTATTAACCAACTAGAGGCCCGATGCACAAAATCTGTGCAAGGGGCTCAGCCCTCGCAGCCACTGCGGCTTGCCTCAGCCCGGCTTTGTCTGGAAGGCTGTCCAGAAGGAAGTCCGGAAGGATGTCTGGCCTAATTAGCATATTACACTTTTATTATTATAGATGTCACCCCAATAAATTCAATAAAGGCTTAAAAAAACAAAAATGAAAAAATATTTGAAGAGGAGTGGTTCCAGAACATACATATGAAAATCAATAAATAATAGGATACAATATTATCTCCCACCAAAATGTGGGGTATAAATGGTGTTTCTGGAGTTCCAAAGTCAGAGAAATTACTGTCATCAAGGCACTCAGACCTGACAGCATGAGGCACCAGGTTAAAGCAAGCCTCTCATTCAGGCAGATGCCAGGGGCACCTTTCAGATGTGGCAAAAGGCACAAGGAGCAGAAGATGAAAGGAACAACATGCGTCTGGCCCCTTCAGCTGAACGATGGCCCTGAGTAGGAAGGTAAAGTTTAAAGTGATAAAGAGGAGAAGCTAGTTTCTGAAGAGCCTAGAACACTAGCCTAATCAGATTAGATTTGTAAGAGAATTTCAGAGCTGTAGGTATTACTTTCACACATGAAGCAAGGCGTTGATGAGGTTAAGTGAAATGCTGAAGGGCAAAATCCCAGGGGTCTCACCCGAAATCCTCACTACTACTCAGGAGTGAAGCATCATTGACCTATCACTTTAGCCATAAAGAGCAGCGGTTCTGAAACTTTGCTACATATTGAATAAATGGGGAATCTTTAAAAAACAAAAAATCGCCACCAACTCCTGCCTCTCCCCCACCCCCACCCCCAGCATTCTGGTTAAATCGGTACGGGGTTCGCCCAGGATAGGACAAGTTGTAAATACTCCCAGGTGGTTCCAATCTGTAGCAAAGTTTAGGAACCACTGGCCTGGTGGTAATGCAACCTTATCACCGCATCAAGCATACAAGTGCCTCAAGTACTAGTTTAGGAAAATTAACCTGAACTCCATTTACTTAAACTGTTGGGAAGGAGAAAAAGTGACAGAGGACTAGTACAAGACTTCTCAAGCTGCTCAATTACATGACCAGTCACCAGTATTTACTCTCTGCAAGGCATAAGGCTATAAAGGACTGGACTATGGTAGAAATGGACAGCCTAAACGAGATTTAAAAGAAAAAAGCAAAGGAGATTAGTGACTAATCTGATGCTATAAGGAGTGAAGAAAAAGGAGATGATTAGTTTTCAGGCGTAAGAGATGCCATGAAGGAGAATGAAAAACTGGAAGAGGGAGAAAAAAAGAAATTTCCAGACTATGAACTGGGCCCTCTTCTAGCACAAAAATACTGAATGTATGACTAAATTGATATGTGTATAACACATTAAAACACACACAAAGACATGGAGGACAGAGATGAAACAAAAATGGCAAAATATTGATAATTCCAGAAATTGGGTTATGAGTATTAAAGGGCTTTTTCCAGAAATGGTGTATCATCAACAAATAAGCTGACCTAGCAGTAAAGCTAAATAACTTTAGCAAAGAGCCAGTTCAAAGACAATAACCACTCAGTACTTGTATTAAACTGTGAGCTTACTTACCACTTGCTGCGATAAGCCATTAGAGCAGTAACTGCTGTGTTCCATTTCTAAATGCTAGCACTACTCAGGAGTGAAGCATCATTGACCTATGACTTTCAACAGCACGAAGCAAAGCCACAGTCAAGTCTGTTTTCATAGGTTTTGCAAAGTCCCATTGCACACTCCTTTCTACCCTCCAGATCAGCAACCCATTTTGCAAGGTAACTGATGCTAGCACAGCCAAGTCCCCCCATTGCTTCTTTCAACAGTCCAATGAGAAAGCCACTGAGTCGAGCTACTTGAGAGTAAAAGGAAAATTATAAATGTTTTTTTCAACATTAACTGTGGAAGAGGCTTGGAGTCCAGTGACAGCTTTCACCAATCTAAATGGATAACCTGGGGCCCTTATCTCTGAGCTTTATATCCCACCTTATGTATAAAGTGAGCAAGTTAGCTTTCAGGAGGTGGAGAGCAATTTAGCAAGATGTTATCAAGGGCCTTAAAAGTGCTCAGCCCCTTGGATCCAACAGTTTCACTTCTCAGAAGTAAGCCAAGGAAATAAGAGATGGAACAAAGGGATAGTATTTATAATTCAAAACAAAAATTAAAAAATGCCCTAATATTACAGATACAAAGAGGGTAATCCTATATAATAAAAGAGAAAGATGTAAATTGACCGTCCCTCCACTACGCTCACCAGCCAATAAGGAGTGGGTATGCAAATTAACCCAACAAAGATGGCGAGTTAATTTGCATATGCAGGCACCGAGCAGCCTGGGTCCTGGGAACATCCTTGGGACCCAGGCCACTCCAAGCCTGTAGGCCCGCGCATAGGCCCTGAGCAGCCGGGATCCCAGAACGCCCTGGCCAGGAGTGGTCTACGGGCGCCGGCGCCAAGCGGCCGGGTCCCGGGACAAGCGGGCGGGGGCACCAAGCAGAAGTGGCCGCGGGGCGCCAAGCACAAGCAGCCGCGGGGCAGGACGGGAACTTCCGCCACAAGTTCCCGCCCCGTGGCCGCTTGAGCATGCGCCCGTGCCAAGCAGCCCAGGTCCTGGGACACCGGCTGGGTCCCGGGACAAGCAGCTGGAAGTGCCAAGCGGGCTGGGTCCCGGGACAAGCGGCCAGGGCACCAAGCGCAAGCGGCCGTGCCAAGCAGCCGGGTCCATGCCCCCCGGCCCGGTGGACACAGCGAACACGGGGCTGCCGAGCTTGGGGGTGTGCCCCCGGTGGCCGTAGCACGCCGTGTCCGAGGGATCCACATCCCCCAGCCCAAGGACACAGCCAACGCGGGGCCGCTGGGCTTGGGGTGTGCCCCCGGTGGCCGGCTGGACACGCCCCTACCCCAGTGGACACAACGCAGGAGACCCTCTGCGCATGGGCTGCAGAGGAAACACCTTTTCTTTTCTTTTTTAAAAAAAATATATTTTATTGATTTTTTAGAGAAGAGGGGAGAGGGATAGACTGTCAGAAACATCAATGAGAAAGAAACATCGATCAGCTGCCTCCTGCACACTCCCCACTGGGGATGTGCCCCCAACCAAGGTACATGTCCTTAACAGGAATCAAACCTGGATCCTTCAGTCTGCAGGCAGACACTCTATCCACTGAGCCAAACCAGTTCGAGCGTAACCACCTTTTCTGACCGCGCACTGGCTAAGCTCCCTGTACGCCGCCACCTGCAGTGTTCTTGGTAACTTGGGTTATAAGAATCCAAGAAGATGATCTAGGGTTTTCCACCACACTCCTGGAGGAAAAAACGAAGGTCCGCTGCTGGAGGGGCTAAGAAATGTCATATCCTGCCCTAGCCGGTTTGGCTCAATGGATAGAGCCTCGGCCTGCCGACCGCAGGGTCCGAGTTCGATTTTGACCAAGAGCATGTACCTAGGTTACAGGCTCCTCCTTGGCCAGGGCCCAGGTCAGGGCTCATGCAGGAGGCAACCAATCAAAGTGTCTCTCTCACATTGATGTTTCTCTCTGTCTCTCCCTCTCTCTTCCACACTCTCTAAAAATCAATGGAAACATAGCCTCAGGTGAGGATAAAAAAAGAAAGAAAGAAATGTCTTATCCTATGAAAGATACATTTTGAAAATGCCTAAAGAAAGTTGTCATTTTTTCATGATGAAGGGACTGGAGTCCGTGTTGATGAAAACACCTTGGAGGCTGCAGTGGCTGGCAGTGGCTGCAGCAGCGTGGTGATGGGGCTGGCACCTTCCCCTGATCAGCCCAGTCACCTCCCACAGAGGGAAGCCAGACTGTGGCTTAGGCCCGCTCCCCATGGGCCTGTGAGAGGGGGCAGGCTGGGCTGAGGGACCGCCTCCCCCCCACCCCAAGTGCACGAATTTCGTGCACTGGGCCCCTAGTAATTAAATAAGATATGGTTATTCATGGCATCATTATTTAATAATATAGAGAGATATTCCTTTACATAATATATATGTGTTATAACACATATATTTTATATAAAGTAATAAATTCATTTTAAAAAACAATAATGGCTACTATTCCAAATGACAGATAAAGATGTCAAAATTTTTCCTCTGCAAATAGTTGGTATTTTCTAAATTTTCTATAGGGGTGTATACAATTGTTAAAAATAGGCGGAAAAATTAGTGTTAAATCAAGCCATTGGGTCAGATACCCTAGATCAGTGGTTTTCAACCTTCCTAATGCCATGACCCTTTAATACAGTTCCTCATGTTGTGGTGACCCCCAACCATAAAATTATTTTTGTTGCTATTTCATAACTGTAATTTTGCTACTGTTATGAATCGTCATGTAAATATCTGATATGCAGGATGTATTTTCATTGTTACAAATTGAACATAATTAAAGCATAGTGATTAATCACAAAAACAATATGTAATTACATGTGTTTTCCGATGGTCTTAGGTGACCCCTGTGAAAGGGTCGTTGGACCCCCAAAGGGGTCGTGACCCACAGGTTGAGAACCGCTGCCCTAGATCTTAGGTAGTGCTAACTTGGATCTTGCAATCCATTCTGATGTCCAGGCTTCAGCAATTACAAACTATAATTAGAGATGTCAACCTAAGACATATACTCCAAAAAGAACTTTACAGAACTGTAATGTTTTTAATTATTACACAAAAGGCTCAAGACTGATGTGGACGAAAGGGGCCACATGCTGACCTGACAGGCTCAGGGGAGGCCTGCATGGCAGTCTTGCAGACTCAGAGACCTAAAGTAACCACAAAGGATGGTCTGAAATTAAACTTTTAACTAAAGCAGTTATGGTGGGCAGTTACGTCCTAGGCCAGTACCTTCACTGACAAGGTCAACCTTTACCTTAACTGAGCCTGTCTTTTTGCATCTATGATAACATACCCTTGAAATGTCTGGGTAACTTGTAACTTCCCTTTTTCTGGAGCCCCTGGGGCACAACCAAATGTGCTGGGCCCCAGGACAAGATACCACAAATTCCTTCACTATCATCTTAATTGAATTTCAAGTAACTCACCTATGTCCCTCCTTTGATTGCAATGTATAAATATAAATGTAACCCCCATTCTCCGGAGCATTATCTCAATTCATTCAGGTTCTGCTTCCCAGCATATGTCGACAGATTGGCTCAAATAAACTCACAAAATTCTTTACAGGTTTCAATGGTTTTTACGTTAACACTGATCAACTATAGCAATATGTTCCTTGGGATCAGAACTGAGTCTTTTGTCATTCAGTCCTTGGGGATTTAATTGTTGAATAAAATAAACAACTCAACAGCTATTGTTTTTCTGCAAGGGTTGTTGACCCGGGTAAGGGTAAAATGCCTCATAAACTAATGCCTAATTGCCCTTCCAGACTCCTACACGTTTTCTGAAGGATTCACAAGACGGGGGTCCTATGCCAAGTGGTTACTAACTGGCCGGAGACGATGGATCCTGACCCCGTGAAATAAGGGGGTTCACCAGGTGGCCAGCACCCGCAGAAAGGCTGCTTCGGCTGCACTTTCCCAGGAGAGCAGCGAAGCCCGCACCAGCCAGCCCCGCCGCAGGGGAGGCGGGAAATCCCCGCGGCCAGACGCGGCCCAGGAGGGCGAGCGGAGCGTCCAGAGTCCAGCGCGAGCCCGCAGCTCCGAGGGGCTCACGGGTCTCCTGCCCCGGCCACCCCTGCCTACACCGAGGATGGCGGGATGCGGCAGAGACCCCGCCGGCAGCGGGAGAGTCCGTGCGGGCCCTCCTCTGATCTCTAAAGGCCTTCAGCCGCAATGCCCAGCGGTCGCCTGCTCCCCGGAAACCCGGCCGACCCCCAAACACCCCGCGCGCGTGGCCGCCGCCACCCGGGACTCACCAGGGGTCCGGAGCCATAGTGCAGCCTCCGCCGCGCCGGGACACTTCCTGCCGCAGCAGCTGACTACGGCGGCCCGCGCGGGTCACACCCCGCGCTCCGACCCGAACGCGCCGGAACCCGGAGTTTGCCAAGTGAATAGACGGTGAGCAGGTCTCCGACCCCGTGATAAAGGACAGCGCTCCGCCGAGGAACAGCAGGTTGGAACAATGTTTCCGTTAAGAGACGCGAACAGCTGGGTGCAGTTAAAATATAATTGTTGAACAAAATTGTATCCTGCCTGAAACAGAAACGATTGTGGTGATCATTACGCAAGTGTGTAAGTTCACCAAAACTCACTTTAAGTGAATTTTGTGATATGTAAATTATACCTCAATAAAGCTTAAACTCTTTTTTACCCAGCTTCAAACTAGCGAGCTGAAGTATAAATTATATATTATTTTATGGCAGTCTTCCCATCAGAAGAAATCCTGTTTGATCAATTTTTAAATGCCATTAAGTACTTGTTATATAGTTACCAAAAAGATCACAGACTCTTTACATTGGGGGAAGGAGTAATTCCTCCTGTGCATTTGGTAGCCCCTAAATTTGCAGAAAGCTAGGAAAAAGAAGCCCTCTCCCTATTTGCAAAAGGGCTTGCAAGAATTTGAACTCCGCAGGCTAGGTTTAGCGCGGGCGTGGGTCTGATGCGCATGCGCACGTCCGTTACCATAACGACCAGAAGACGCTGTATGTCCGGGAGGTTGAGCGAAAAGTGAGAGGTGTCTCCGCATGATGGAGAACCAAATTGCGCCCAAGGCCGAGATGGCCCAGGTCCCCCAGGCAGCCGAGGTGGCCGAGCTGGAGCTTCAGGCTGTGATCGGCTTCAATGGTGAGGCCATGAGTATGTCTGGGATGGGTGGTGTGGGAACCCTGGGATGTGTAGTGCTAACAGGAGCAGTGAGACAGCGGGTGGTACCTGGCAGACAGGTGGGATGCTGGCATGAGCCTTTGCCAGGGCCATACATGGGGGCTGGGGGGTGGGGAGGGGACAGCTTCTCCTGCACAAAAGCCTTAGAGTGTCAATTCTTCGCTCCAAGTCTCAATGAACTGGATGGTTATTCCCAGCACCTAAAGGGACCAAATGTCTCCTCACAGGGCTGTAAGGATGAATAAGCGTGTTGTACCCCTTCTCCCACCAGATCAGCCTTCCCTGGCTCTAACCCCCATGTAGTTCGAAAAGCTGTCCGTCCCTCAGTAACCACTAGATAACCGAGTCCATGATGGCCCCTGGGACCAACTAACTTCCAACATCCCAGCTGCTGTATACATAAGCACCGCTTTAGGGGATGATCCTGTGCTTTAACCCGAAAGAAGATTCTATTGGTGAGGACTTCAGACCACGACAGAAGCCAAAAAAGACGCCAAGGGGGAACTGGAGGGGAGAGAGCTTTGGTCAGAGGGGGCCTGGTTGTTCTGCCCAAATCCTTACTTATACTAGTAACTGCCTATTATTTTGGACATTAAGGGGAGAAATTATTTTGTTTCTTTTCTGAAGAATGAAAAAAAAAGCAATGAATTACATTTTTTAAAAGCGAAATTTTAAAAGTACATTGTAATGCCTGGAAGCTTTAAAATTGTAAAATTGTACATACAGAACAATCAATGACCAAGATTTTAAGAGCATTCTAGGACATGGCTCTTGACTCTTATCTTCATTTTAATTTAGCCATCTCTTATAGAAAGTGGGCACTTAGCCCTAGCTGGTTTGGCTCAGTGGATAGAGAGAGCTCAGCCTGCAGACTGAAGGGTCCTGGGTTCGATTCTGGTCAAGTGTACATGCCCAGGTTACGGGCTCAATCCCCAGTAGGAGGCATGCAGAGGCAGCCGATCAATGGTTCTCTCTCAGATCAATGGTTCTCTCTCATCATTGATGTTTCTATCTCTCCCTCTCTTTTCCTCTCTGAAATCAATATTTTTTTTAAAGAAAGTTGGCACTTAGTACATCTGAGGTATGGGCCATCTTTAGAGCTGGTTCCAAAATCACTGGTAAAGGAAGTAAGTGGCCTGCAGTCTGTGCAAAGGGTCACACTGGTGACCAGTGTAGAGCCTCAAATATAGAGCTCTGCAATCGAAGTCATGCTGCCCTGTAGCGCTCCAAGAGTAAATATATGGCAAATTATATCCCAATGTCTTCCATGGCAATTAATTACTATTTTGGCCTTTTTACTTTATTTATTTTAAAATATATTTTTATTGATTTCAGAGAGAAAAGAAAAGGAGGAGAGAGAGAGAAACATCAATGATGACAGGGAATCATTGATTGGCTGCCTCCTGCATGCCCCACACTGGGGATCATGCCTGCAACCCCAGGCATATGCCCTGACTGGAAATCGAACTGCGACCTCCTGGTTCATAGGTCAATGCTCAAGGACTGAGCCATGCCAGCCAGAATATCTTGGCCTTTTTAAATGGCCCAAATTAATTGAATTGTTTTTATCTTGTTGGTTTTGTGACAATTTATATTCTCTCCTGGTCAAATATACATTTATTTAGAACCACCACATGCCAAGTGGTATGCTATTCACTGCAAACACAAGGACAAATTCATAGCCGTACTTAAAAAGAGTTTTTAAAAGATAGAAAAATGCAGTGAAACCAAAAGAAAAATCAGCCATCATTACATTTCCCAAAATATCACTGTGATCCTTTCACATAAACACATACATCACTTACATATAAATTTGGTGTTTTTTTAATAAAAGTTGATTCAGGCATATATAAGCTCTTATAACACTAATTTCACTTAACAGTATGCCATATAAATCTTTCTTTAGCAGTAAATATACTCCATACCATAATTTTTAATATTTTAATATTTTATTCTGTTGCAAAGATATGCTACAATTTATAAGAGCAATGCCCTGTTCTTAAGAATTTAGGATGATTTTTCTACATTTATTTTTAAATGCTACAAAGAACATCTGCATAGGTAACCTTTTTACTCTAACTTTTTTCCTTAGGGTAATTTCTGAGTACATTTTACAGATTTTTGATGTACCTTCCAAATGCTATATCTGACATGGAATAGAAATGTGTGCTCAAAAAGCAGGAGAATATTATAGTAGCATTTTTTCTTTTTTTGTCATTTTTTTACAGTAGCATTATTTCAAACCACTGGAATTAAAACAACCAAATGTTCATCAAAAGTAAAAGGACAAATAAATTGTGGTATATTTACACTACAGACTACTGTGCAGCAATGGAAAAAGAATGAACTGCTGCGCACAGCATGGCTAGATCTCACAAACATAATGTTGAATGGAAAAATCTAGATGTAAAAGAGTGCATATTGTATAATTCCATTCACATAAAGTTCTAAAATGAGGAAAATTAATTTACAAAAATAGAAGTCAAAACAGCAGTTACTTTTGGGGAAATGTAAACTGGGCAAAGGCACTTGGAGGGTGTCTGGGGAGGACGGTGGTAATAATCTACCTCTTTATCCAGGCCACAGTTGAATTGGTATGTTTACTTGGTAAAAAGTTACTGGGTTTCCTTGTATTTTTGTCTTCAATGAAAAAATTGTTTAAGAGGATTAAAAATGGTGGTAGAGTAAGTGGAAGCTACACTGACACTCTCCCAGGACCGAACTGGAAAGACAACTAAAATACAGAAAAACCAGCCTGAAAAATCAACTGAAGACTAGCTGCAGAGAACCCTGATAACTAAGGACAGGAAGTGGAACCTCCATAGAGACTGAGGACATCTTTCTCCTGGGACCTTTGCTAACCAGGAGGTTTTGACCTGGGGAAAGACAGTCACTCTACCCTGTAGTCCATCTAAGGCCAAGCAAGGCTGATTACAATCAGACTGCAGGCGGAGGCTTTGAGTCTTTGCCTGGTGTCCTTCTGCAAGCATGTCAAACTCAAAGGCTAACACGGGCCAAATAAACAAGGTTTACTAGTAAGTTTATGTGGCTGCAAAAAAACAAAAGCTTCCTTTTTCATAGACACGTAGGTTTATTTCAATAGAGACATGCTGAATACAAAGGGCTGAAATAAATAAGTCATTAGCATAAAATAATAGAACTTTTAATAAAAATTAATATTTTTTCTTGAACATTAACTTACCAGACACTGAATAACTGCACAAATTAATAAGCGTAACACAAATAAACCTATTTAATGTCCTCTGAAAGTGAAATATTTCCTGTTGCACACACCAAACAAGCCAGTCCAAGATTAATGACGTGGCCATCAGCTGCTAAAATATTCGCTGCTAGTATTAGTGGAGAGAAATGGTGCGCGTGCGCATAAGGTGCGTAAGGGAAATGAGTGCAACACGATGATAGCAATCAGTCATTAGCGAATGTTATAGTTAGTTATTAATAATTTTTTTAAAATATATTTTATTGATTTTTTACAGAGAGGAAGGGAGAGAGATAGAGAGTTAGAAACATCGATGAGAGAGAAACATCGATCAGCTGCCTCCTGCACATCTCCTACTGGGGATGTGCCCGCAACCAAGGTACATGCCCTTGACCGGAATCGAACCTGGGACCCTTCAGTCCACAGGCCGATGCTCTATCCACTGAGCCAAACCGGTTTCGGCTAGTTATTAATAATTATGTATAACAGGATATTATAAAAATTAAGTTGTGAAATTTTTATTAAAACGTTTCTTACATACCGTTATATTGGGTGGGCCACATTATTTGTTGTGGGCCGGATGCAGCCCTTGGGCCTGGATTTTGACATGCTTGCTCTAAGGCAGTGGTTCTCAACCTTCTGGCCCTTTAAATACAGTTCCTCATGTTGTGACCCAACCATAAAATTATTTTCGTTGCTACTTCATAACTGTAATGTTGCTACTGTTATGAATCGTAATGTAAATATCTGATATGCCGGATGGTCTTAGGCGACCCCTGTGAAAGGGTCGTTCGACCGCCAAAGGGGTCGCGACCCACAGGTTGAGAACCAGTGCTCTAAGGCCAATCAAGGCTAATAATCAGACTGCAGGATCTCTGGGGGTTTTGGGTCTTTGCCTCATCTCCTTCTGGGCCCAGGTGTAGGAAAAGCAGACCTTGGTGCACATCTTGGTCCTTTCCAAAGGCATGCAATGCAGCTCCAGAAGAGGGAGCCACAAGCTGCGGATTGCTGATAGCCCTGAACAGGGTACTGGGGGCAGAAACAGCGTCTGACTGTCCTGAGCTAGAGATCGGGAGTCATAGCAGATCTACCTAACACGCAGACACAAACCCAAACAGGCAGCCAAAATGGGGAGACAAGAGAGAGAGAGAGAGAGAGAGAGAGAGAGAGAGAGAGAGAGGAGAATTCTCCAGGAGAAGAGATAAATGAAATGGAGTTAAGAAATTTATCTGATATAGAGTTCAGAATAATGATGGTAAAAATGTTAAAAATTCTATAATACCTCTCATAAAAAAAATAAGCAAACTTTATGAAAGTTTGGGAGGTCAAGGAAGGGTTAATCCAAGTAGTCTTTAAAGTTGGGTAGGAGTCAGAGTAAAGACTGAGGAGCAGAATATTCCAGGCAGCAGGCATATGGTGAGCAAAGAAGGAAGGCGGAGTGTGTGGGGACTGGTTGGGGAATGGCAAGGCTGGGTGTGGCTTCGGGGTCAGGGAGGGCAGGATAACCCAGGAAAGAACCTGGGATTAGATCAGCCTTGGGCAAACTACGGCCCGCGGGCCGGATCCCGCCTGTTTGAAATGAATAAAACTAAAAAAAAAAAAAAAAAGACCGTACCCTTTTATGTAATGATGTTTACTTTGAATTTATATTAGTTCACACAAACACTCCATCCATGCTTTTGTTCCGGCCCTCCGGTCCAGTTTAAGAACCCATTGTGGCCCTCGAGTCAAAAAGTTTGCCCACCCCTGGATTAGATGGTAGAGGCCTTAAATAGCAGGTAACTGAGTTTAGTCTCCACATGGAAACAAATGAGAAGCAAAAGTAAAGCCCTTTTTATCATTATGACACTAGAACTCCTTGTAGTTTCACATTATACAGTATACTTTCACATTATAAGTTTTAACTTGAGGGTGTAAATGTTTAACTGTACTTGACTCTTTTAGGTATTTTAATGGGAATTTTTTATGTAAGCAAACCAAATAGAGTTGTGTTGCTTATGAAAGCATTTTATAAGGCTGTAGGTATTAAGAGTTTGGTATTGACACAAGAATGGTCACATCCACCAACTGACTGGTAAAGGAAGCTAGTGACCTGCAGCAGATAAGTCCGTGCTTTTCTTATTATGCAAAGAGTTCTTAAACTAAAAATACCAACATTACCAAAACAGACCAGGAGTCTGCAAACTATAGCCTCTAGACCAGCGGTTCTCAACCTGTGGGTCGAGACCCCTTTGGGGGTCGAACGACCCTTTCACAGGGGTCGCCTAAGACCATCGGAAAACACATATATAATTACATATTGTTTTGTGATTAATCACTATGCTTTCATTATGTTCAATTTGTAACAATGAAATTGGGGGTCACCACAACATGAGGAACTGTATTAAAGGGTCACGGCATTAGGAAGGTTGAGAATCACTGCTCTAGACCAAGTCTGGGCTTCTGCCTGTTTTTATAAATAAATTTTATTGGAACCCAGCCAATAAAACGTTTCTATCTCTCTCTCCCTTACTCCCTCTAAAATCTATTTTAAAAATATTTTTTAAAATGCTTTAAAATTTATTTTAAAAATGGTTTAAAAAGTTACAGTCTGGAAATGTTTTGGAACTAGATAGAGGTGGTGCTATTGAAATGTTCATTTTTTTAAAATATATTTTTATTAATTTTGGATTTGAGAGAGAGAGAAACATCAATGAAAGAGAAACAGCAACATCGATTGGATGCATATACTGGCATTTTCTGTTAGGATTTGCTCTTTGGCATTATGTTTAAGAAGTCATTTCCTACAACTTGTATATACATTGAGTCTTGTTTTTCACGTTTAGATCCTTGGTCTACCTGGAATGTATTGTTTGTGGATGGTGGGAAGTGCGGATCTAATTCTACTTTTTCCATGTGGATAGCCATATGGATTATTTATAAGGAGACTGCAATTAGAAATAAACAAATATATATATTAGTCGGAATAGATCACCCCCAGACATAAAGCTTAGTATTATGAGAACTTACTGCATAAAAAAGGAACAATAACAAAATGAAAGAAATAATTTACTCGGTAAATACATTTGGCCATTTGAGCAAAAAGGAAATCTATGTAGCTACTGGGATCACACTCTGCACCAAAATAAATTCCAGAGGGAGTTAAATGTAAAAGACAAATTCATTAAAAGACCAGAAAGCTACATCCATAAATATGACACTTTTGGTGGAGAATGGAAATATCAATACGTAAGATTTTCAAGTATCCAGGAATAAACGTAATAAGAAATGTGTGAGATCTTTCCAAAGAAAAATTGTAAATGCTACTGGGCGGAGGCACATAGACCTTGTTTTTAGAAAAGAGACATAATGTATCATTATGGAAATTATCTTTCCTTAAATTAATCTATACATTCAAAACACCCCACTAAAAATGACTTTTTAACAAGTCAAGCTGAATTTAAAGCTTATATTGTAAAGTAAATATGAGGAAGAACTAGAGAATCGAAGATGGCGGCATAGGTAAACACACCGGAGACTGCCGCCGTGGACAACCACTTCAAAAATACAACTAAAAGTCGGAGCGGACATCAACCAGAACCACGGGAAGGCTGGCTGAGGAGAGTCTCTTCAACTAGAAGCAAAAACAACAGCATTCCGACGCTCAGCGGAGGCGCAGTGTGGAAAATTTAAAGGTACGGCGGTGAGGTGGTGAGGGTGCGCGCGCAAAGCGGGCTGGCGGCTGAGGGCGCGATTGTCGTTTTCAATCAAGAGCGAGTCTCAGACTCTGGGCTACAGATCCGGGCGAGTCTCTAGGGACCCAGACTCAAACGGGAGAAGCGGGACTGTCTGGCTACGGCCCCTCCGAGGTTTGCAGCGATTGCTGGGACAGAGAGGCAGAGCCCCTGGGGACGGACTGAGAGCGGCCATAGCTGCTCCCTCCCCCCGCCCTGTTGAGCCCGCCCCGCCCAGGCCCTGCGCAGAGCCATTTGCCGATCGCCTCAGGCAAGGGCTGGACTAGCGCCTCCCCAGAGGACTGAAGTTTTCCCACAGCTGATTTCCACAGCCAGTCGGCCTGGTGGTCAAATCCCTCTAGTGTTAACTACAACAATTAAGGCTTGGCTAGAACAAGACTGCGCACAGAGACCACAAGGGGGTGCACCAAGAAAGCATAAAAGATGCGGAGACAAAAAAACATGACAGAAATGGAGGATATGGAGCTAAGAATCGCAATTTTGAGGGCTTGCCATAAATTTGTGCAGAGCCTCACGAAAACTAATGAGACCCTCGATGCTACGATAAAGAAATTAGAAAGTAAGCATACACGGACTGAAATAAAGAATATTATACCCAATAGCAGACCAGAGGAGCACAAGAATCAAACCAAAGATTCGACAAAAAACACCCAATTGGAAAAGCAAAATGAAAAAAGAATCCGAAAGTGTGAAGATAGTGTAAGGAGCCTCTGGGACAGCTTTAAGCGGACTAATATCAGAGTCATTGGAGTGCCAGAAGATGAGAGACAGCAAGATATTGAAAACCTATTTCAAGAAATAATGGCAGAAAACTTCCCCCACCTGGAGAAAGAAATGGACTTACAGGTCCAAGAAGCGCAGAGAACCCCAAACAAAAGGAATCCAAAGAGGACCACACCAAGACACATCATCATTAAAATGCCAAGAGCAAAAGACAAAGAGAAAATCTTAAAAGCAGCAAGAGAAAGAGGCTCAATTACCTACAAGGGAATACCCATACAACTGTCAGCTGATTTCTCAACAGAAACTTTGCAGGCCAGAAGGGAATGGCAAGAAATATTCAAAGTGCTGAATACCAAGAACCTACAACCAAGATTACTTTATCCAGCAAAGCTATCATTCAGAATTGAAGGTCAGATAAAGAGCTTCACAGATAAGGAAAAACTAAAAGAGTTCATCACCGCCAAACCAGTATTATATGAAATGCTGAAAGGTATCCTTTAAGAAGAGGAAGAAGAAGAAAAAGGTAAAGATACAAATTATGAACAACAAATATGCATCTATCAACAAATGAATCTAAGAATCAAGTGAATAAATAACCTGATGTACAGAATGAACTGGTGACTATAATGAATCAGGGACATAGAAAGGGAATGGACTGACTATTCTTGGGGGAAAAGGGGTGTGGGAGATGCGGGAAGTGACTGGACAAAAATCATGCACCTATGGATGAACTCAGTGGGTGGGGAGTGAGGGTGGAGGGTGGGGTGGGAGCTAGAAGGAGGGGAGTTATGGGGGGAAAAAAGAGGAACAAATGTAATAATCTGAACAATAAAGATTTAAAAAAAAATATGAGGAAGAACTAAAACAAATCCTAACCAAAGGTGAGTGATAAGGGGGACTTGTGTCTATTTCACATTAAAACATATTACAAAGGCCTGGCTGGGTAGCTTAGTTGGTTAAAATGTCATCCAATACATCAAGGTTCAATTCCTGGTCAGAGAACATACAAGAAGCAACCAATGAATGCATAAGTAAGTGAAACAACAAATCAGTGTTTCTCTTTCCCTCTCGCTCTCTAAAAAAAGAAAAGAAAAAGAAAAATCAATAATAAAAAACATATTGCCAAGGTTTGAAATTGACATGATTCTTGGCAAATATCTGGAAGATGGCGTCCTCCCATGAGCGGTCCGGGGCTTCTTCAAAGTGCCTGGTGGAGACTTAGGACTGAAACCAGAATTTTATCTTCACCAAACTCAGGGCAATGAACTCACGTGCCTGTGTTCTCACCGGGATGCACTCACCAGACAGGCATTCTTGCTCCTTAGAATGACAAGAATTGGCCCGAGGGCCTTGATGTTCAAAGTGAGGTTCCTGGACCAGCATCAACATCAGCCGCACTTGGGAGCTTGTCAGAAAAGGCGACATCTCTGTCCCGCCACAGACCTAAAACCAGAACCTACCTCTCAACCAGGCACCTGGGGAGTTTTTGCACATTGCAGTTTGAGCAGTCACACACTAGACCAGGGGTCCTCAAACTTTTTAAACAGGGGGCCAGTTCACTGTCCCTCAGACCGTTGGAGGGCCGGACTATAGTTTAAAAAAAAAACTATGAACAAATTCCTATGCACACTGCACATATCTTATTTTGAAGTAAAAAAACAAAATGGGAACAAATACAATATTTGTATTTGCATGTGGCCCGCGGGCCGTAGTTTGAGGACCCCTGCTCTAGACCAGTGTTTCTCAACCTTGGCTGCACATTAGAATCACCTGGGAATCTTTTTAAAATCCTCATTTCTGGGCCCCATCCTCCGGAAATTCTGTTTCTTTGTTACTAATGTTGTGGCCCCACCCCATAACAAAGAAACAGAATTTCCGGAGGATGAGCCCCAGAAATCAGGATTTTAAAAAGATTCCCAGGTGAGGTGATTCTAATGTGCAGCCAAGGTTGAGAACCACTGCACTAGCCTGACCTTGTCAGTGGAATAAAATGACCTTTCACCCACCACTTATTTTCGTTGAACTAAGGCCTATATCAAAAGTGTTTTCCTTTGTACTCATTTTTTTTTAAATTACCAGTCCCTTCTGCACCTTCTTATTATTTTTAATCTCTCTCTCTTAGGACATGTGCCCACTGGTCTGAAATGCCACCCTGACCAGGAGCACCTGGTTTACCCTCTGGGCTGCACAGTCCTCATTCAGGCGATCAATACCAACGAGCAGAGTTTCCTGCACGGCCATGGCAACAACGTCTCCTGTGTGGACGTCTCCAACAGCGGGGAGTACATTGCCTCGGGACAGGTCACGTACATGGGCTTCAAGGTGAGCAAACTGAAAGTAACTCAGTGTGAGTCGACTCAGAGCCGCCTGCCTTAGCAAGACCGCCCCACCTGCTCGTAGGTCAGCTCTGTGCTGACGCATCTGTGAAGTATAGTAACCTCCATCTTGGGTAAAAACTGCTGTTTAAAATTTTAACCCTGCTACTCTGTAAAAATGTGCTTGCTTCATGGGGAAAATAAGACTAAAGACTACTCCCCAGTCCAGAGAGGCCATAAAATATGCCCCAGACAGGGTTGTCAGGGCTGACGCCAGGCCGGGCCTTGAGATACGGTCTCACGGCCCTGTCCCAGCACACAGGACTTTTTCTCAGAAGGTCCGGAAGTCTCATTCCAAATTTGGAAAACAAAGAGCTGAAAAACCGTATCAATTGAAAAGACTTCCACCATATTGGGCCCCAGAATTTGAGAAGCAAGAGTTCCTCTGGGCCCGCTCGCGCTAGCGAAAATGAACAGGACTCCAAGTAAATTTGGCTTATTGATTCAGGCGCCTTCTGATTTACAATATAACATCTGTCCCCTTCCTCCTCTCCCTCTTGACTCCCCCTGCGCTCCTTTTCATTCTCTCAGGCCGAGAGGGAAGGAACCTGGCAGTTCTTACACCAAATGCTGCTGCCGGTGACCGATCTGCTCAGGAATAAAGGTCACCGTTTAAAACCGTTTCCATTCTGTTGCTGTGGAGTTTGTAGGACATGATGCACTTTCTAGAAAAGTGACATCACTATTATTCTTCACCGAGGGAGGCAGCCGCCTCCTCGGGTTCTTGAAAGCCTGTCCATGACCTGACTGTGTGTTCTTTCTCCCAGGCAGATATCATCCTGTGGGATTACAAGAAAAGGGAGCTGATTGCTCGGCTGTCACTTCACAAGGGCAAAATTGAAGATCTGGCCTTTTCACCAAATGATCTGTACTTGGTATCCCTCGGGGGCCCAGATGATGGAAGGTAACGAACTAAACATGCGTAGTTATGCTCCAGCAGGCATGTTTCTAGACATGCCAAGCACCCTCCCCCCTCTTACATTCCCTGGTGTGTGAAAGCCTCGGAAGAAAATGCCGTAGGACCCTGGCTGGGCATTGAAATGCACTGGGAGCTTTAGAAAATGACCAGTGCCTGGCTCCACCCGCAGAGAGTCAGCTTTGATTGGCCTGGACTTTGGGAGCAATAAAAGCTTCCACATGATTCTAATGTGCATCTAAATTCGAGAATCATTGCTATTAAAAAAAAAAGAGAGAGAGAGAAAGAAAGATGACATCATCATCATCATTGTCATCAGCAGCAGCAGCATCAAAGGCAAAGCTGATTTTTGTGAGCACTTACTATGTGCCAGGTGTGTGCTGCACTTGAACTGCGTTACCCCATTTAAGTCTCACAGCAACTCCATGAGGTGGGAGCTGTTGCGACCAGGAGGAACTAAAAAGCTGCCAGTGGTAAGGAGCAGAGCTGAGAGGCAAACCCTGGCGGTGCGACGCCAGAGGCAGCAATTTTAGCTTGCCTCGCCAAGTCATGACCTTTGCCCTCAAGGAACTCATAGTCCAGTGAGTAGGCAGAGAATACATACACATGAAATTGGGGGGAAGTATTTAAAAACACTGCATTAGGAGGAACAATCAATGTAGTCCACACGCCTATGTAAAGAGTCTGGAGAAGAAAAATAACACCTGAGGTGTGGGTAGGATTCCATGCTTTGGCGCATTCTTACAGGTACTTTCTTATTTAAGCTCCATGGGTTTATGACAAATGAGATTTATCAAAAAAAATGAAATTTACTTTTATGTGTAGTGATATAGTGCTAGTTCTGTATGCACACCAGACTTGTATAGCAAGGCCACAGAATTTTAATGAGATTTCCACCTTTAATAGGTGTTCCTTTCCCCTGTTGAGTAGTTACACCTTCCCTGGGCCATCCCCATTTGACTGTTTGTGGTAAGAAATGTACCCAGAAATCATCTATCAGTATTCTTAGTTTAACTTTAAAGCAGTTGTTCTCAGCCTTGGGTGCACACTGGAATCACCCAAGGAAATTTGCAAACTTCTGATGCCTCGTCTCAACCCCAGAGATCCCTGGAGCTTGGCAATCAGGCCCCTTCCACTTCCACGTCTTTCTGCCAGAAAGATGCCCAGGCTAGACCCAGGGGGAGAAAAAGATGGCCCTCTAGCCAAGCTTAATCTGCACGTTGTTCGTCTCCTCTGTCATTTTAAGTTTGATTTTAGGCTGCCTAAAACTTGCTTGCAGAAAATTGGGGGATGTTGAGAAAAACATTCTAAAGAAAGTTTCTTTCCTAAAGAAAGAAAGAAAAACAAACCTTGCCAGGCAAGAGCATGCAATATGCCCTCCCCTGAACAGCCACGGTGGTGAGGAAGACAAGGTTCTGAGGGTTGGTTTTGGATAATCGGGGGTCAACCCTGAACCTGTGGCAGGGTCCCTTCTACCCAAACCACCTGGCTTCTACACACAGGATGAGGAACAGAAGGGGTGGTGGGGACTGTAGTAGACATTTGACAGTTTGGATGTGCATGCTTTTAAAAAACATTTTTGTAAACTATTTATGAACCTTTTTTGCACTAATGTTATCACATATCAGTATTGTAATGCACTCTGCTTTTTGGTCAACTTGATATCAAGAACATATTCTGTGTGTGCACACGTAGACATATGCCACATTCTTTGCAATGACTGCATGGTATTCCACTGCATGGATGTGCTGGAATTTACTCAGCCAACTCTCTTTCTATGTCAATGCCTTTTATTTATTTTTACACTTTAAACTTATTTTTTTGAAAAATTAAAACTATCCATGTCCATGGTTTATAAAGAAAGTATGTTCTCTAACTATGCAGATGGAGTCAAAATACATATTCCCTCCACCATGAAGAGCTCTACTCTCTCAAGGCACTTGGGTTCATTCTTTACAGCTCTATTGAGATATACCATATTTCACATACCAAAAAATTCATTCATTTAAGGTATATAGTTGAGTGGTTAGTTGAGTGTTTTTGTGGGTTTTTTTGCTAAAATACTTCCCCAAGGAATTTTTTATATGCTGTGTTTTGTAACCATCACCACAATCAATTTTAGAACATTGTCAATACCCCAAAAAGAATCCCATGCCCATTAGTGGTCACTCCTCATTCCTGCTCCACCACTACCCTCCCAGCCCCGGGCAACCTCTAATCTACTTTGTTTCTATAGATGTGCCTGCTCTGGATGTTTCCAATAAATGGAGTCATACAATATGTGGCCTTTTGTGACTGATTTACTTTATTAAGCATAATGTTTTCAAGGTTCATCCATTTTGTGGCATGTATCACTACTTCGTTCTTTTTTATTGTCAAATAATATTCCATTGTATGGATATACAGTGGGGCCTTGACTTACGAGTGTCCCGACTAACGAGTTTTTTGAGATACCAGCTGTCTCTCGGCCGATTTTTTGCATTGAGTTGACAGAGTAATTTGAGTTAATGAGCTCCTTAATGAGCTCCTTAACGAGCTCGGTCTCGGAATGAATTAAACTCGTAAGTCAAGGCCCCACTGTACCACTTTTTCTTTATCCATTCATCAGTTGATGAATTTTTGGCTCTTTTCCACTTTTAGGCTATTATTAATAACTAGTGGCCCGGTGCACAAAATTTGTGCACATTAAAAGGGAATTAATTAGAGGAAATATTTTAATATTGCTATTTGCCCTTTCTCTATAATAGAAGTGTCAGAGATGAAAGAAAATTAGTAAAATGTATATGAAAAATCTCCCTCCTGTCAGAGTCTGGGGCATGCCACAGGACCTAGAGCAATGATGGCGAACCTATTACACACGTGTCAGAGGTGACACACGAACTCATTTTTTTGGTTGATTTTTCTTTGTTAAATGGCATTTAAATATATAAAATAAATATCAAAAATATAAATCTTTGTTTTACTATAGTTGCAAATATCAAAAAATTTCTATATGTGACACGGCACCAGAGTTAAGTTAGGGCTTTTCAAAATGCTGACATGCCGAGCTCAAAAGGTTCGCCATCACTGACCTAGAGTCACGTCCCCGCCCACCACCTGCATATGCTTTGAAAACGCAGGAGACCCAGACCCAGCTGGCCCCACTCGCATTGGGTGAGACCCAGACCTGGCTGGCCCCACCCCTGTCAAGCCCCGACAGGCAGGGGGCGCAGCCTCAGGTCTCCCGTGAAGCCCTGCTGTACCCCAGCCTGGCGCCAGAGCAGGGGGCACAGCCTGAGGTCCCCTGGCCTGGCGCTGGGGTGGGGGTACACGGCATGAGGTCTCCTGGTCCAGCACCAGGGTGGGGGGTGCAGCCTGAGGCCCCTGTCAAGCCCCATGGGGCGGGGGGGCACAGCCTGAGGTCCCCTGGCCTGGCGCTGGGGTGGGGGTACACGGCATGAGGTCTCCTGGTCCAGCACCAGGGTGGGGGGTGCAGCCTGAGGCCCCTGTCAAACCCCATGGGGCGGGGGGCACGGCCTGAGGTTCCTCGCCTCAGCCAGGAGCCATGCAGCCTCAGGTCACTGCTGTTCAGTCGTGACATTACAGCATCCTGGCTAATTTGCATATTCTTCTATTATATAGATAGACTAGAGGTCCCGTGCACAAAAATTTGTGCACT